CTATGGCCAGGCTGTGGTCACTGAGCCTGTCCTCTCTGGACAGTCAGGTCTGTCTGTGTCCAGTTCCTATGGCCAGGCTGTGGTCACTGAGCCTGAACTTTGTCAGGGTCTCCTTTGCTGTATCTTAATCCTGGTCAGATACTCAGCTAGAGTGTATTGTGTGTTTAGGGTCCTGTATCAGTCCAGTTTGTGTTGTGTTTGTGTGTGTGTCCCAGTGGATGCATTATTACAGAATGGCCTTCCTCAAACTCGACGAGAGACAATGTCCCCGCCTCTCTCCAAATCCAAACCCAAAGCTCCCGGTTTTGCCCGGCCTGTGTCTGGCTGCCCTGCGCCCTTCTCTGTCTGGGCCTGTTTGCTCTCCTTCAGCCTTTTTTTCTTCTTACTTCCTGTCGTGACCGTTTCTGTCTTTTCTTCATCACTATGCACGGCGTCCTTGGGGTTAGAAGGCGCGTCCAGATTTTTTTTTCTAAAAGACATTATTGAACCAAGAAAAATGGTTCCCTGGGCTCCCAATCGGGCGAGTCAGACGTGTGCCCTGGAACATGGATCTGTGGGAAGGACCCAGTGCGTGTGGGAGCATTCCCATGGGGAATGGTGGGGGCAAGGGGTCACCATGATTCTTGACCATCCGACACTGGAGGTGGAGGTGATGTGGTCAGCATCACGCTCCGGCCAGCCTATCACCCCCAGAGGGATTAACCTCTGGGACTCGCTTGGACAGTAGGCTGAGTGGACCTGGGAACAGTCTGGAAGGAGTTAGAGCAAGCTACAGTACAATCCCCTTCCTGGGATTGAACCCAGGACCAGCAGGTCAGGAGCTAGACGCCCCTGGTGGACAGCTCTACAATTCTCCAGCTGCCCCCCTCTCTCTCACACCCTGTCTGGGACATGTGTGCTGTAACATACAAATCGCCACAGGCCTCCACTTCCTGTGCTCTCTGGCATCTTGCCAGCCGGCCATCGGAAAAATGAAGTGTTCCGCTGTAATTGAGTTCCCGCCTCTCCATAGACCCCCTCTACCCTCCCCTGTAGAAAGCACGTTTAATCCTATCCCGCCGGGCGGCACCAGAGCCACACAATGTTGTTTTAGAACATCTCGCCCTTCGCAGGTCCAGGAATGTTCCGAGATTCATGAGCGAACCCTGTCAGCTTTTTAATAAGAATAATTCATAATACCGCCATGAGTCTCGCACGAAAGAGTGGGAGCTAACGGGCTTGTATTGTTGTTGTATTGCCGTCAAAGACGGAATTAGATATCATCATGTGTTATCAGGTAATTATGAGAAAACACATGAAATATATTTTTTCTATCCTCGAAGGCGGGGCTAATGTCTCACGCAAAGCTCATTCCTCATGTAGGCGCCTCGTGAACACTAACCGCATTTGTGAAGGAGTCGAGGTACAGGAGGTTCTGATTATTTGTCGCCCGCTTCGAAAAGGCTTGAGTGGGGGTGTGTTTCGTGGGTGGAGGTGGGTTAAATAGACACCGATCGCGTTGTCGCCTGTTGTCAAGGGATCTGGTACCGCCGGCGCCAGAGGCAAGGCCGGCCCACACGGCATCTTCTCATTAACCGGGCGTTCCCGACGGGGCTGCTGCATGAGGTTATGGATGGTAGTGCCGAGACGTTTCCTCTGCGTGCCCTCGGTGAAGAACCCCTTTGTCATTCGCAGTTACCCTGCGTGGACCCGCGAGGAGGTTCGCCACCCGCGAGTCCGACAGACAGCGAGAGATCCGCGTCCCCGCGCTGCTCCAGGCCCCTGGTAATGAGAACCACGTGCGCGTCCAGAGGCCCCCTCTCCCGCCGTGAGTAAAGACGGACCCCCCCCCCCGGTTTGAAACCACAGCCCGCTGGTGAGAGCCAGGGAAAAAACACAAAGATTGGAATTTAGAAACCACGCGTGGGAAATGTCAACTTTTTTTTTTTTACGTGCTGCCTGCACACCGAAACACCACGCAGCGTGTTGTGCGTGTGCGGGGAATCTTGTTGACTGGCAGTGGAAAAGTAGAGCCGAGAAAGACAATGGGCGTGTTTTGGCCCTTATTTTTCAGACAGTTTAGCAACTTTAGTATTTTTTCGGGGGGGTTCTGTGCGCGAAGCTCTGTTCCTGGATTTCCCCGCTTCTCTGTCACTGATACAAAAAAACAACTAGTTGTTGTTTATTATCTATTATTTCTCCGTGGGACGCGTGGGAGTCCGAGTCTAACCCCGCAGCCACCGGGCACAAGGCAGGATACACCCTGGACTGGACGCCAGGGAATCTCAGGGCTACACAGACACAGAAACACGCTCTCTCGCCAGAGCCAATCAGCCCAGAAGCTAATTAACCTACCTACCGGGACTGGGACTGTGGGAGTAAACCCTCGCAAACGTGGCAAGACCATGCGAACTCCACACAGACAGCACCCCAGGTCCGGAATTCAACACAGGCCCCCAGCGCTGATTATTAAAATAACAGAAGGGTGGGATAGCTTGTCGTGCGTGTTTTGTTTTTAAAGTTTATGAAAACAAACTCAACGCACGTCTTCATTTTTAACATCAACAATAATCAGGCTCGTAAGCACCGCGCTGAGTCAGCTCCGTGTATCTTCTTCTCCGCGCGCTCACACAGATCCTGCTTCACAGGGAAGGGCTTCATGTGTGTTTTTCTTGAAATAAGGCGAAATAACGTGTCTTCCCGGCAAGAACGTCATCGGGCTGCGTAGTTCCTCTAAAACCAACAAACCTCTGCCACCAGGCTTTCAAACGACAATATAAAATATATAGGAACATTCCTTCTGTATAATAATAATAACAAAAAGACGTGTGTAGTTGGCTATCAGTGACACAGTACGCTAATGGCTTGATCAACAGCCAGTGCTATCAGTGTGCTGCTTTTTTGCTCCAGTGTGACCAGTGAAATCGCAGACCGCTCGGTCCCTTGCAGACCTCGTCCGTGTTCGGCTGCTACCTGGCGAGTGATTTCGTCGGGACGGTCCCGTCGGAGGGCGGCGGAGGCGGCTCTGAGAGTAGCGCCGCCGGACACGGGCGCTCTCGCCACCTTCCACGGGCGCCTGCCCGGTCTGCGCCCGCACCTTCGGCTCCCTCGCGGCATAGCTTTCAGAATGCGTGACGTCATTTGTTGTGTACGCCCCCCTCCCTCCCCACCCCACACACACACTGGCCTCTAGCTAGCGCACGCTGGCCTCTCCATTCATAGCTGTGTAGGCACGGTCGGGGAGCAGGCACGCAGCTCGCTAGCGCATCGGCGCTCTGTGGAGTCAGGAGGGCTTAGCCTTATCTGTCGCTCCTATTCTGCTGCCTGGGCCAATTTCAACAGGGACTGCAGAGTTCAAACGGAGGTCGGGAAAGAGAGAGAGAGAGAGGGTCTTTGCGTCCAGCTGAAGTGAAAACAACCATATAGCGCAAAAGGTAAACTTTTTTTAAAGCTTTTTTTGGGGGGGCCGAGTCGACAAAGAACAGCAAACGCACTTTTTGGACCCTGCGTGTGGCCGTGCGATTAACGAACACTCCGATTAAGTGCGTGCAGAGGAGAAGAAAGCTACTCGTCTGTCGTCGATCGTCGAAGTTTGCCCGGTCTGCTGCCGCCCCGCCGCACGCCTGCCTGCTATGGAGGGTCGCGCCTCTCACGATGAGTCTGGACGCTAGAGATGCCCTCGGGGTTAACGCGTCTTCGCCGCGGCTTGCGCCCCACGATGGGGAACTGCCCGCCAATCTCTCCAACGGGACCTCCGGGAACCAGACGCTGTTCCCTTCCCTGGACGTCACGAGGGCGGCCGCGCTGGGCATCGTGCTGGGCGCCTTCATCTCCTTCGCCATAGTGGGCAACATCCTGGTCATCCTGTCGGTGGTCTGCAACCGTCACCTGCGCACGCCCACCAACTACTTCATCATCAACCTGGCCATCGCCGACCTGCTGCTGGGCACCACCGTGCTGCCCGTCTCGGCCACGCTGGAGATCGTGGACTACTGGGTCTTCGGCCGGGTGTTCTGCGACATCTGGGCGGCCGTGGACGTGCTGTGCTGCACCGCCTCCATCATGAGCCTGTGCGTCATCTCCATCGACCGCTACATCGGCGTCCGGTACTCCCTGCAGTACCCGACCATCGTGACGGAGGGCAGGGCCGTGCTGGCCATGCTGGGCGTCTGGGGGCTCTCCCTCGTCATCTCCATCGGGCCCCTGCTGGGCTGGAAGCAGCCGGCGCCCCCGGACGAGAAGGTCTGCGTCATCACCGAAGAGCCGTTTTACGCGCTGTTCTCCTCCCTGGGCTCCTTCTACATCCCGCTGGCCGTCATCCTGGCCATGTACTGCCGGGTGTACATCGTCGCCAAGCGCACCACCCGGAACCTGGAGGCCGGGGTGATGAAGGAGAGGAGCAACGCCAAGGAATTCACGCTGCGGATCCACTACCGGGGCTCCCAGGCCAGCGAGGAGGGCGCGGGGGCCGGCAGGGGCCGAGCGCAGCACATCCGGAGCTCGCTGACCGTCCGGCTGCTCAAGTTCTCGCGGGAGAAGAAGGCGGCCAAGACTCTGGGCATCGTGGTGGGCATGTTCATCCTGTGCTGGCTGCCCTTCTTCCTGGCCCTGCCCATCGGTAGGTGGGGATGTGTTCTCTTGGGGTTTTTTTTTCCTCTTCTCAAGTTCTTTATCGAGCCCTGATTTAAAAGCCCGTCCGTTTTCTCCCCCCCCCCCGCACCCACGCGCGTGAGAGACACGGACCCACTCCCACTGTCACGCACTCGGCGGCGTGCTGGGGTTACATCCCCGGGATGAAGTCTGGCGATCCGGCTCCACGGAATTGGCGGTGGGCTCTCTGCTGTCAGAAAAGATTATGATGCCCTTATAGATTTTATTCCTCTCCCTCCACCTCCAGGTCATATAGCATTGGCAGTTTTTAGTTTGTTGATTTATTTCTATTTCTGTTGATTAAATATCGGAAATCTTTCTGGAGACAGCGAACATTTGTCTAACAGCTCCCGTATCCGATATCACAAGAGCAATCGTTTCTTTATCTAGGCAGTTTTTTTGTGAATAACAATGGAAAAAAAAACTATTCCTATTGTTTTATTTTAATGCATACTAAGGATATTTCATTACCTCCCTTTTTTTCAATGTATTGAAATGTTTTAATGGGTGTGAACTGCGTAAATTCGATGTGGTTAGGACGCGTATATTTGCTTGTGGTTATTTTAAGAAAACAGCAGCCTTTAAGAGAAAGGTGTTGATTGACGCGCTGAGATGTCACTAAACACATTCAGCCGAGCTGGACTCAACTCTTGCTCTGGCGCGGAGCACAGGCACGATCGCAGACAATAAGGAAATAAAAGTCAATATGACCAAGGTAACAGAATCAAAACTTCCAGCAGGCAGCCGCGTCAGCATGCGTAGGCTGTAAAGGAACAAGTAAAGGTTTATTCCACGCTGAAAAGAGAAGAAGAGAGACAACGTTTCGGCTGTGAAGCCTTCTTCGAGTGTAGAAAAAATTGCAGAATAAAAACTTGTTAGCCGGGTGAAAGGTGGGATTTCCGTTCAACACTTCGCAAATATGTAGATATATATAACCATTTGTACATATATAGAACTTGCAAATATAGATACAGTTTAAATACGGCATGCGTATACAGGAAGTAAACAATAAAATAGGATCTTAATCTAAAAATCCTAAATTAACCTCCGGCGCGAGGCTGTATTTTTCGTCTCTCTGCGGTTGACCAGCTCAGTTTGTTATGACTTCCGCCTCGTGCGGTCAATAGAGGAAGTGCTCGCAAGGCGCTATACTTCAGCTTCCTGTTCCGTGAAGTGCTCTTCTGTATGGTCCGTTCACTTGTCTTATCGCATTCAACGACAAAGCAAACTGATGAAGCAGCCCTGCATTTGAATTAGACGATAATTCAAGGTATGGTCATCGCATCGTAGGTATGGACGTGAAGGGTAGTCCTTCCTTTAGCGAACTGTTTGGATTTGGCTTGGGCTTGTGATAATGGTAATAATGGGTTTAATAATTGCTTACACTTATATAGCGCTTTTCTGGACACTCCACTCAAAGCGCTTTACAGGTAATGAGGACTCCCCTCCACCACCTTTGATGGTAAGAGCTGGGGTACGCAAAAGTAAAGTTTGAAATTACTTTTTAGTTCTTAAATTGCATGTTATCGTCGCACCACGGGAGGGGGGGCTTTTAATGCACGATGTATTTCGAAGCTCGAACTGCGGCGGCGCGCAGTCGGGTTTTGTTGTTCCCGGTTTCGAACCAGCGAGGTTTAGTTTCATCCAAACCGGTTCATTCTAGTAATGGCGACAGTGGCATTTAACGCTATCAGTTTATGGCTTGGAAAATAACATGAAAGGAGGCCAGGGATCTCTTTCCCTCTCAATTCCTGAAACGAGAGCCCGTCCGACCGGCGGGCCTTGGACTGTGTGTCCTGAGGCGGGGGTGCGCTCAGCCCGCGAGCGGAAGAAGGTGCTTCTGTCTCGCGGCAAGGACAGCCGAGAACCTCACGAGGGACGCGTTGGCGCGTGCACGCCGGGACATCAGATGTCCACAGACCCCGAGCAGGCTGTGGGGGTCAATATTCCGGGAAGCTGCGTGGAAAAGATCTGTGTAGAATGCGTTTTCGTGAGGACTCGTTCCTAGAACAGACCTTGCCCATGTTATAGTCTTTCAAGATTCATGTCTTTAAGCTGCACCTGCGTACAGTGTTGTAAAAGAAACTTGTCGGTAAGACACGGTACCACCTCCCGAGAGAGCACAAGAAATAGAAACGCGCGTACCCCCCAAAATCCAAATGTTCATACGTTTTGTGAACGACTTGACTATTTCGTATTTTGAAGTAGCTCGGCCATGAGACAAAGTGTGAGTGTCTAATACGGGGAAATATAGAATTAATATGATCTATCGCTCAAATAAACTAGGATAATAATCCATCAGGCATAAACTGAGGTGCGTGGCTTCACCTCTAGAGGGATTCCAGATTCAGGACAGGCTGGAGGCGCTCAGTGTGGAGAATTCCTGGGAAAACCTCGCAGCGCCAGGATGGAGAGCAGAGCCCCGTGCTGCAGGTCCGAGCAGGAGAGTCTGGACGCACGTGGGAAAGCGATAGCCGGGGCGTGGCATTGCTGTGGTACCTATAAGCATCATTTATAGCGCGCGTTAGATCACTGGGTACAAATGCACGTCTCCGTGCTCCACAGTTTTATACAGCTTTCCTGTC